GAACATAAACGAACATGCCTAAATGAACATAAACAAACGAACACCACTATTTGTCATTCAGTTAACTATTACACACCAATTGTCCATAGTTTAAAAAAAAATAAATCACCATTGTCATTTGAACAAAAACAACAATCCGCTCATCATCATTTGTCAGTTGTCACCTCATGGAAGTTCAATATATATCATATCATCAGTTTCCTACAACAAACAAACAAAACAATTATTAGTTGTTGTAAGAAAACAAGTATCATAAATTCATAATTGATAAGATTAAGCAAATTACCTTGGTTTTCTTTTTGTGTAGTCCATAATGATGACGATACCAATCAGCTCCGCAAATGAGCATATCTACCGTCTTCGTCCCTAAAGAGGCGCGATGAGCATCGATAACTCTCCCACCAGCACTAAAAGCTGATTCTGAAGCAACAGTTGTTATCGGAATTGCCAAAACATCATCAGCCATTTTAGACAAAATTCTGAACTTCAGATTTTTCTCCTTCCACCACTTCAAGGCATCAAAATATGCACCTGAATCACCAATGTACACGCCTTCTTCTAAATAAATGTCTAACTMTGACTTCACACTTGCAAAAGTGTCAACGCTTCTGATATGTTGATCATACTTTGCTGTGCCACTCTTGATACCAACTATAGAAATTAACTTGTTATAAGCACTCTTAACTCCACTCTCACTTTTGTCAGGTGCACTACTCATTTGAACAACATTAGCCGCTTTATGTTGTTCAACATACTCTTCAAACATTTTAGTAAGAGTATCTTGAACAATTTTCATTTGCTTAGGTGCCTCATCCTTTGAATAAATGGAACTAAAAGAGAACTCAACCAATTTCATCTTGTATCTAGGATCTAAAACAGCACTAATGGAAATCAACAGATTACAAGTACCCCAATATTTGTCAAATTTCTTTTTCATCTTGAGAGCCATATCTCTCATATATTTACTCTCATCTAAAGACAAATCATCTAATGCTTCTTTAATTCCATAYAACTCACTAAGAAACAAATTAGAGGTAGGATATTCGGAGCCTATAAAATAAAAGAAGTAAATAAAATTCTATGAGAATTAGGTGATTAGCTTCGATAAAATGACTTATAATGAAAACCATAAAGAAAATTAATAATACCTGAAATTATTTTTGTAACCTCGTTGAAAACCCCAAGAATGAGCAAATAACTTCAACTTTGTCCCAATCTTCCGAGGTCGGCAAGATCTTGTATGTCGATTCTCGATCGGCATAATTTACAAACACGTCTTTAAACTTCAAGGCCGTAGACAACATAACATACGTAGCATTCCATCGGGTACTAACATCTAAGATCAAATGCTTCTTTGATAAGGTCATTTGCTTGGAAAGTTCGCTAAATATATGCAATCGACCCGGAGAGGCATTCACGTGTTTCACATTCTCATGAACATTGTGAATAATGTCTTTAATTTCCGATAAACCATCTTGAACCAACAAATTGAGAATGTGTGCACAACACCGCACATGGAATAACTTCCCCCCAACAACAAGCTTTTTCTGAAAGTTCATAATTTCCATCAACTTTGTAGCCACCACATCATTAGTTGTAGCATTGTCAACCGTCAAAGTAGCAACCTTTGTCTCATTATTCCACTCTTTTAAACACTTAAAGAGGGAATCATATATACATAGTCCAGAATAAGGTGGTGGTACATCAAGAAAACTCAATATGCATTTGTTAAGCTTGAAATCGGAATCTACAAAATGACAAGTAACAACTATATAATGAATATTTTGCACTGACATCCACATATCAGTTGTTATACTCACACGATTGATAGCGCTTAACATTTTCTTGATTCTTTTCTTGCCTATCTCATAACTAGCAACACAATCTTGCTTAGCCGATGCACGTGAAATCTTGTTAAACCCGGGGTTAGCTTCCTTCATAACCACATTAAATAGTTCATACTCAACAAAATTAAATGGCAACTCATGAACCATAATCATATGAGAAACAACCTCTCTAATCCTACTATTGTCAAATTTCAAGTTTTGGACCATAGAAGAATCTAATTTCCCCGGCACAACCTTTAACTTTAACTGACCTGGATGAATGGTGTTGACGGCTTTTAACTTTGGGCAATCACTAATATGCCTATGCAATGGTGTGGTGGTTCCATCTTTAAGTTTCTTTATCTTCTCACCACAATGGATGCACTCATAAAAGGAAAATTGACTAATAGCCCGGGGTTGAAAGCATAGCATTGTGAGAAAATAAGTGTATTTGAGAGAACATACGGTTACATACTGATGTGCTAGGATCGTAAGTGTGCACACAGTGGGCATAAAATCCCCAAAGTGGCGGTGCAAGTGGACGCCGACACTAAGATCGCTTCAAGTAATAAAGTGGTATAGTACCAAGATTGTTTCCACAGGGACCGGACTTACTGAGAATCAGAGACTTTCATGAACTTCTTGAACAATGTTTCGGGTTGAGAAAATATTTGAGTTTTGATTGGTGCAAAGCTTTAAAATATGAAATAAACCTTTAATATTAAAAGATGGGTATGGGTGTAAGCTTTGCTTAAGAATATTACAGGAACGACTTGGTCAGAAACCCATGGGATTTCTATAAGAACTCCTTTCTCTCGAAAGTGAATTCTTATATACTGTGCCCACAGAGTGCCCACAAAGCGTCCAAATTTATCAATCTTAAACTTGCCGATTTAGCTACTAGATAAAAAGATATCTGGTTCCACTATCTGAAGATTTATACTCACAACGTATTGTAGCATAAACTCGACTAATATCTGAACAAAAGCTAAAAACATGCAAAACCCGCATCTCTGCGTGATTATCAAAGACTCTCTTGAACCTTTGTGCATCATCTAAGCCGTATTTCAGATCCRCCCATCTCTGGATCAAGGATCTAATATTAACACTTTAAAGTGATCAGCTTATCCGCGTTGAGTTTACGTCCCGACTTAAATGACCAAGCTTAAGAATCAATAAAAATGGCAACACCCAAGTGTGCCCTTAAATCCTTAAGCTGGACTCACACCCACACCCAAAGGGGTGCTTAGCTCATATTGAAATTAGAAAACATAACAGAAATAGAAGAAAAAAAATGCATAAGAAATACTTGAACTTGAAAATAAATACTTACCGGTGCCCACAGAGGGCACACAATACAGTGGCGAGAATAAAAGCTAAACTACGAAAATTAAATTATAAACTGAAAATAAACTAGTTCTAATACTACAAAGCTTTAAGAGGATGTTCCAAGGTGCTGGTGGAAAAGTTGGATTGAGTTGAATTGGAGATGGGTTTTTTAATGCTTGAGAGAATATATAGGGGGAAAGGTGGGACCTAAATACTCTTTGTCCAATGGGTAATGACCACCCATCACCACATGTCTTCTTCAATCTTGACCAAGTCACCTCCTCTTGATAGGTTGCAAAAGGTGAAGGTACAACCAATAAATGTGATGGAAAAGCCATTTCATCATGATACAAATAGAACTCTTCCAAGTCTCATCATCCCATAACTAGGTCCAATCTTCCATGCAACCAAGTATTTAGATTTGAACTTAGCATTAACTCCCAATAATATCCAAGAATATGAATATCATAATTTTGTTCAAATCCAACTAGATACCAAATTTACCAACAATAAAAAGTTTTTTAGTCAATAATTAAATTCTTAACCTTTCATCACCTCTTAACATAATTTGGATCAAAAATATAGGATAGGAGCAAAATGGGTACCAAAGATACAATAAAATAGGGGTATTGGACAACAAATAATTCTAACAAAATGAGAGTTATCACATACCTAGATACTGCCCTTCACGATTAGCGATTGATCTACAGCACGGTCCCCTTCGCTTCTGCCCTTCACGATGACCACCACTCCACCACACGTCCACACTCCACACCAGTCGATGACCTAGAACTAGAAGACAACCCAACAAAACCCTATTAAAAAGGCCCAATATTAAAAAGGCCTAAACCCTCTTAAAAGCCCAATAATTAAAAATGTTTTAAAATTTAAATTCAAACTAAACAAATAAAAATTATATATTAAAATTAATACATAAACGAACGAACGTTCACGAACATAAATGAACACACGTTCACGAACATAAATGAACGAACGAGACTCATGTTCATGTTCGTTCGTTTAACTAAACGAACAAAATTTTTTGTTCATGTTCGTTCATTTATTAAATAAACGAACATAAACGAACTTCCCGCCGAACGGTTCACGAACGGTTCGCTGAACGTTCGGTTCGTTTACAGCCCTACCTCCTAGTGCCTACTTGAAGAGTTCATCCAATCATTTAATGATGAAAGGTGACATTCATACAATCCAATTAGGGAAATATACTTCGTAAATCAAATGAAAGGCTATTAGTCCAACCACCATACTTCTTATATTCAGTAAAATCCATAATTTACAATGACCCCAAGTTAGGTCCACAATGTCACTATAATAAAAGCCATATAAAGACCCCAAGATTGTAAGCTAATCTTCATGCAATAAATTTTCAATTAAGGTTTAATCATGGAAAATGGTAAATTCATGACATCAATAAAATGACTTCCTAAAAATGCACACAGTGTCCTCAAAATGAGGTTATGTGGCTAAATCATCAAATAATGAGATAATACTTGAAGTAAGGATAAATATGTAAGCAAAGTAAGCATTTTAAACTCGCTCTAAAAACCTAGAGAACCAAGGAAAACCCTAAAATGGAGAGGAGATCTTGAAGCTTTATCCTATACTTGAATCCTTTAGCTTAGTAGCCCTTAAATGCTCCCAACAATTTGATCTTATGGACTTGAATGCTTCTAAGCCGAATTTAATGGGAAGGGGAGAGGTAGATATGTGAACTAAATGAAATAAGGGCTGAAATCTCGCATTTATGTCACTGTTGCGACGTGCGACCCTGGCATGTGACCTTGGGGTTGAGGCTCAAGGGTCGCTTGTGTCCAAAAGGGTCACTCGTAGTACAGAATGTGTGGCATTGGTCATGTGATGCTAGGGTCGTCGCTCAAGTGTTGTCGGCCCCCAAATCTCCAGTTACGGTACAAAACTTGCAACCGTGGCATGTGATGCATGAGTCGCGGTGTTAGGCTCGCACCTCCCATTATTTTGTGATAACCAGGTCCTGATTATTACCCAAGGTATTTATTATGTGAATTAATTGTTTATGTGTTTACATGGATTAATTGCGTAAGTATGTGTATTTCGTACATGAGGTATATACATAATATGTGGGAATATATATATATATATATATATGTTGTATATCCATAATGTTAATGTGCATGTGTGCATGAGTTTATGTACATGTATGTATGGTTTTATAATGCATGCATGTGGGAGAAAAGGTGACCAACTTTCCAAATGGGGAAAATATAAGTATGAAGTTTTTGAGGAAACAATCTTCTTGCCTCATTTGGAAATTTGAGAGAGAATTAAGAAGTGTTGTCAAGATAATCAAGAAGTGGATTCAAATTACCTTTCGTCTTCTTCAAAACAGAATTTTTGCATAAAGGTGAGTGATTTCTAAACCTCTTTGTATAAAATTTGTACTAGTTTTTATTGAATGTTGCATATAAATTGGAAGAAATCAGTTATTCGATTAAGGGTTTTATTCGGACAAGGGGTGACCGGATTAAGTCTAAACCGAACAATGCTTGTCCGGATTACTTTTAAACCGGATAGGAAGTGTCTGATTTATTCATAAATCGCTTAAGTGTTGTGCGATTTAGGGTGTTAGTGAGAATTTTGAACTATGTAAACCGGACAAAGGTTTTGAACGGAGAAGTATGAATACGACCAAGCATTGTGCGGTTTAGCCTTAAATCGCCTAAGGGTCGTGCGGATTAGTTATAAACCGATCACGTATTGAGCGGTTTAGTCTTAAACCGATCATGTGTTGTCCGAATTGTCTTAAACCGGACATGAGTCATGCGATTTAGTCTTAAATCGAACAAGTGTTGTCCGAATTAGTATATCGGGCAAGAAGAGATAGTGTTGTCCGGATTATATATCCGGATAACTTATCCGGGTGACCTATATTTGATACTTTTCAATATTGAATATTTTATACATTTATATAATTTAAAAATGTCTATTATTGTGTTTAATTATGGATTTATAAAAGGGGTATTTTATATCCTTTTAAATAAAAAAGATATGTTCCTACCAAGCGTGGTGACGTAAGTCTGTTTTGGTATGGAACTGGATTTGGGAAAATGTTTCTACCAAGCGTGGTGACGTAAGTCTGTTTTGGTATGAAACTATATTTTGGGAAACCTTCCTACCAAGCGTGGTGACGTAAGTCTGTTTTGGTATGAAACTATATTTTGGGAAACCTTCCTACCAAGCGTGGTGACGTAAGTCTGTTTTTGTATGGAATTTGATTTTTTGTAAACTATTTCTAACAAGCGTGGTGACGTAAGTCTGTTTTGGTATGTAATTTGATTTTTTGTAAACTATTTCTACCAAGCGTGGTGACGTAAGTCTTTTTTGGTACGAAACTTGTTTTAAGTGGTAGTTCCCCCAGACGTGGTGATTTTTGTCTGAATAGGCTTGGAACTAGGAATGGGTACTTTCAGACGTGGTGACTTTTGTCTGTTCTGATAAGTAGCCCTGTTTTGATGAAGGAATAAGAGTGGCATATCAAGGAGAGGTGTACTTGGAATAAGGGAGACATTGTCATATATGGATAATATTATAACTCTTATTATTGTTACTAATTGGATTTAATAACTTTGAATCATCATTTCTTTGTGACCTGATGAATTAGAGATATTATTCCTATTAAAAACAATAATTTAGATGTTATTGAGAAAGGGAAATGGGTTGTCATAAAGGCAAGTATTGCCTTAAATCTTTCCGTTAAATATTTAGAAAGGAATGGTCTAATGATTCAAAGAATCTTTGGTTACAATATTTGTTTCATATTGGGAACGTTGGATCATTAAGCAGATATATTTTATTAATAGAACTGAGGTTCTTAATTTTATCTTTTTATACATGTCACTGAGGACTGCATTATTTGATAATATTGCAAATATTTCTGAGTAAAGGTACTTTATTATATTTTGGTGTTCATCACCCCGCACTTGCAAGGAAGAGATTTACTCACTAGACCCTTCTGGTCTAACCCTCAATTTTCTATTTTAAAATTATGCAATGCAGGAATGGTGGGGTCCATGGATAATAAAGGGAAAGATAAAATGTGATTATTT